AGACTTCAGAGAAACATGAGAATCAGATATATATCAATAAAAATCTATATTTATTTATATATATATATATATATATATATATATAATAAGGCTCCCTTTTGTCACTTGTAAATGGTAGTAACTCATTAATAAAAAGAAAACTGCGTTATAACTTGTTTAAAATTGTGTATTACTAAATTACAAAGTGTTTTAACCTAATTAATAACCAGATTATAAACCCTTCATATGGGGAGCCTTATTGTAAAGTATTTTGGGGTCTATTGTTTTTTTTTTCTCTTCATTCTTATTTAATTAATTTCTTGGTTTAAAAGATTTAGGGCCCTCTGCATGAAACATTTCCTCAGAGAAGAGAGGCAGGAAGTGTGCTGGAGAGAGCAACAACGTCAGCCATATGCACAAATGAGCACTATATACACACAACATACATCTGCAGGCATCTGGTGGAATGATGGCGCTTCTGCAGAAGATATATTACCGTTTCTCTATAACAGGTTCAGGACAAGTGAGTTACAGCATTGGTTAGACAGTAGCTACATGTTTTCGGCGACGTCTATCATCAGATGCATGATTTATCTTTTTATTTAAGCCCAGAATATGTGTAGATGGTGAGACGCTACGTTGATAAATGTCATCAGGGCAGAGATTTCACTCCTTGTACTTTGGGTGCCTGAGGGAATCAATTAAAGCATGTTTGTGCATAAAGCGAGAAGCTTTCAGACACAAAGAAACAAATTAGTCACTTAACACAAATAACTCAATATTACCCCACGGTCACAAATAACCTAATATCACCCAATTAAGTCTTTTAATTGTTGCTATTCCACTTCGTTTTTGATGTCTGCTCATTTTGAGTCAGTCGTATCTGCCGTCTAGTGTAACGCAGTAGGTCAGTAATAAAGACAACATAGTTTGACAGAAACTGTGATTTTTTTCCCCCACTTGTTATTGCTAAAGCTTTGTTCGTCTCAGTACAGATTAAAGAAGAACTACATGACCAGAAGAAATAATTGCGACGGTCTGTGTTATCTCATTATCTGAAGCTTTAAATCGGGCGTACTTAGAGTTGCCCAAAAGCCATTTTGGGAAAATCTCGGAAACGTCGGTTAGGCAAGCTGTGTGTTTTTTTTTTTTTTTTTGGTGAGTTGACTGAAGAGAGCAGACTGTTTCAGTAGGAGCCCCTCTCTGGCTGCAGGATATTGGAAGAACTACCACTGAAGTTCCGAAAACCGTAGCCTAATTAAGCTTATTATGAAATTAGACCGAATGCCACCAGACACACTGACGAATGGCGTCTGCCGAGTCTGACCTGTGTATAATGCAAGGCTGTGTTATGCCCAAAAGCATTTTAGATTAGAATACAAACAAAGCTCTGATAATCCCCTGAATTAAAATAAAAAAGAAAATACGATCCCCCAGGTCCCCAAAGCCCTTTATTCAGACAGTCAGGGACACAAGAAAGGCGAGCTTTGCATTTGCCCGTCCCTGGTGTGAGACGAAGCCTGCTAGACTTCGTATATATTTGTCATTACTAATTGAATCAAGTCAGCTCCCTTGTTTTTAAAAAGCAGGAATATAAACAATGAAAATGAAGGCTGCCCCCCCCCCCCTTCCCACCCCTCCCCTCGACACGCCCCTACCTTACAGAGAACATCACTGTAAAAATGTTGGTTGTAATTAAAACGCAGGCATGTTGTCCTTGAAGGGGTGCTTTTCGCATTCCGACTGGCAGGAACTGGTGGAATCTTCAGAGACGCTATCAAAGTGCTGCCTTGTTTTATTTCAAGGGGCTAGATAACCAGGAAGCATGAATTAATTTCCTTAGGACCTGTCACTCACACCAGCTACATCCCAGCAGGGTTTGCACACCACGTCATTGCAGGAGGGAGTTGTTTTTTCCATCCATCCATCCATCCATCCATCTTCAAAACTTGGTCAGAGTCATTGGGGCTCATTGTAGGGCACAGATTTGAGATGGAGGATTTTTCTTTTTAAAATACCAAGATTGTACCAGGTCACATATGTAATCTTACCTTTATTTCAGCATCTGGTGCGTTTGCTCATGGGGAAACGTGTTGGAATAACGTCTCCTCTGTTCTGCATACAACAACCGATACTGTACATGGCTCAGACTATAAATGTCCACTCAAGATTTTCTGTGTTTACAGAGTGAGTATTTTGGATATGTGCATTTTTACATTCATATTTAACAGCTCAGTATAAACGACTTGGGCAAAATAAAACGCCACCATCCCAAGTGGGACTTGAACTCACAACCTACAGCATGTGCCTCTATTCCCTTGCCCTTTATCATAACTCTGCTTGCTTCCCTGACTTATATGGACGTGTAAAATCATGTCTATAAATAATCCCTCTAAGTCCTGTTCTGTAGTTAATTTGCATTACTGGAAGGATTATTTCCATATACTACAATCATAGTGTTTTGGGGGTAGCTTATGGTTCAGTGGGTTAAGTCTCTGTACCTGTGATCAGAAGCCCAGCCTCGGCGCATCTGTGCATCCGTGAGCGAGACCCTTGACCCCCAGCTCCCTGGGTGCTGCTGTGGCTGGCTGCCCTTCACAGCCAGCTCGCTCTCACCTACAGAGAGCAGGTTGGTGGAGGCGTAAAGAGAATTTCCCCACAGGGATCTATCATTATTGTTCTGTGTACATTCTAATGTACAGATATACATTTTCAGCAACCACAGACCAATGCAGTAATGTTGCATTCTTAACCAAGTTATGCTGAAGTCGTGCTCAATCGTATGTTGATGCAGGCTGCCTTCTATATTTGAAGAAAGCCATCAGTGTCAAAAAAATAATTGTTTTTGCATATATATTTTTGATCTGAAAATAATGCAGCTGCTTTGCTGTGTTGTGGGTGTGAATAGATGTTATTTTCAAATTTGAAGTGCGGGGGACGAAAAAGATTTACCTTTGATGCTTTCAAACTGGTTCCTGCATAGTCTCATGGCAGCAAGCGCTGATGTTTACAGATTGCGACTTTTGATTTATGTTGCTTTGGTGGGTATGCGGCATGCACAACAAAATAAGAATAATTCCAATGCAAAGTAACGCATCATCACTTAATCCTTAAATCGGTACATAGAAGCCATTTTATAATCATTTTGTGCAAGTTAGACATTTTTCTGCTTGCTAGTGTTGCTGTTTTTTCATGCGAGAAACAGTAGGAAAGTTTCATATGTGTTTATTCAGCATATTTCAGCGCTCTTCTCGTATTGGGTGGATCGTTTTCGGTTTAGTTGATAGTTGCTTACAAATTCACTTTCTGTCACCGGAGATTAATATTTGCAGGGCGGCGATGTCAACAAAGTAATGCCTCACAATGGCACGTGACTCTGCTCGGCGAAAAGAAACTGCCGAAGGATGCTCGCCAATGCGCTTTTAATGTTAATTCAGTTTCTTAAAAAAAAAAAATGTAAAAAAAGCAGACGGTCTTGTGATGACCTGGGTTTTCACCATGACTACCGATTGCAGATTTGTCAGCGTTAAGAATCTGGTCAAAGGAACCAGACAGTTATGTTGACTCAGCTTGTCAATGTACCATTGATTTGTACAATGTCAGAATGAAAGTCGGACACCTACTGTCCGCCACTGTATAAATATCATACAGGGAACACAACTGTTTATTTATATATTTGCAAGATATTTCATCCAGCATATAAGAAATCCCAATTTCCTATGTCACTGGGCCTAATACTTTATTAATATACATTTAAAGGCATCAGTTGCACAGGAGGTGGGGCCACAGGGCCACTGGCGCCCAGCTGAAAGCTGATTGGCCGTCTATCCTGTCACTCAACTATTCAAAGCATATCATTGGGTAATGATAAGCTTGGCCCCTATAATCCTATCATCGCCTCTGCAATTGTACAAGTAACATTTCAGCTAAGGGGCCAAACCAGGGTGTAACAGATCGTAAATAGTACAAATACTGTGAGGAACTCCATGTACCTCTGCTTCGATACAGATACCTGTGTACATATCAGGCAAGAATCACTCGCCACCCGGGCATAAAATAAAACTCTGCTTTTCTTGAAAAATGCAATACTCTGCATCATGTTTTCATCTCTTCAGTCGCACTGGGGTCTCAAATGTTTTGGTCCTTATCAATTTTCATGACGGATATGAATATCACAAAGCGCTGCAAATCAAGCAGCCCTGTCAGGCAGAAGTTACCCACGGCTCCTCTCACGTTCTGTGCCGGTATAACACCGTGTGCCGGATTACAGCCCTACATTGGTGAACCGTTACAGTCAGCTGGGTCACCCACCAGACCACCAGACGGTCCACGTTTCTGCTCTCCCCCAAAACACTGGGGGGTTGGGAGGGAGCAAAAACCTGGCCCATCTGGGGGGTCCCGAGGACCGGATTGACCTACAGGATGGAAGGTACATTACTGCAAAGCGTTTTATTCGGAAAGCAGTTAACTCCGGACATTAACAGCACTAATCCCGAATACCCTAATAAGGATTACTTGCTGTAACTCTAAAGTACAGAGTTCTTTTGGATGATGCAGTCAGAAATCTACATCACAGTGAGGTTTTTTTAAATATTAAAATACATTTGACAAACCAGATTTTTTGTTTGTTTGTTTTCACAGACGCCCAACGAGAGCTGCCGAAAGATTTAGGGTTCAAGTAGTGACTTGTTTGTGATGCACGTATGAACTGAAGAGAAAACGATGGGAAAGGAATCAGGAACATTAAAAACCATTAGGGAGATATTAAAAAAACAAGAAAAACTTCTAAAATGGATAATCTCTAAGCACCCAGTCATAGAGACCAAAGAGACACTGAAACAAACACAGATGGGAAATAAACGCTGAAATGAAAGCAGAACCAAACAAACATGACATCTGCCTCAGGTCAGTGATGATGTTACTGTAGGTGTAGTTTCAAATATGTTGCCGGTCCGCGACAGAAATTGTGAAAGTAGCCATATTGAGGATTACTGCCATGTTCTTCAAAGGTTCTGTATAGGAGGAACAAAGGATTAATTCATTAAAGTTAACTAAACTGACTTCTGCTGTTGTAAGCTTTAGCGTGGACCCCCCACTAACAGCAAGCACAGGCTTGGCTGACCTTTCGACTGAGATCGAGCACAGCAGAGGCTACGGTTCCCCGGGAATCCTGCTGCGGGGAGGAAGGTGATGCAGTCACCGAAGCCACAAGTGGCCACCGCAGCCAGGGAGCAGCGATTAAAGAAGCCAACGTGTCAAAATTAGTAACGGCGTCCCCACAACAACAACAACAACATAATAATAAAACTATTTCACAGAGATGGGCGAGACAGAAATGTTCTGAGTGTTGAGAAATGCAAAGAAGATGAGAATCACAGAGATTCACCACAGATCTGCAGGACAGAATTTCCCTCTCATTGATCTGCATTATATAAATGCGTAAATAAAATTTTTGCATGAGGCAGGCCTGGTATTGTCAATTGTTTGATGTACTGTCATGCTGATAACCTTGCATTTCCATTGAGGGGTGGGAGCCACAAGGCAAAACCATCTCAGCAGGCCAGTCGGATCTTTTCAATTTTTACACCAGTGGCGGTAACGTCTGGTACATCCCCATTATCAGCTGGAGGAGCAGGGCAACCATTTTAAGATCTTTGTGTTGCACTGTGGTGGCAATATGGCATCTTCTCGAATTAAATAGCAAAGTCTTCCTAAGGCACTGGATATCAATTCATACGTCAAGTACTGGCTGGGGCTCGAATAAGCAGGCGGAAAATTGGTTTGCGCGTATCCCACTGTCACTGAGTAGGACCACAACACGGCACCGATCTTAAACCCAGCTTCCGCTGATGAGTTTGAAAAACTTGCAGATCGCAAGCTGATCCTTTCCAGTGTGCGATGGTGTCTGAGAATTCCAGATGCAGCTCGCATAAGCCTCAGATGTTTATCAGGGATGAGGGTTTCTCCATACTCCTCCTCTGCATCTGTTTCTTGATGGACACTTGATTGGTTGATGATGCTCATGTTTGCAGTCTCTTACTAGAGGAAAGTTCTTACACCCTTCAGTAACACGCACTTGTCATGCAAGTCTCATGCATGCTGTTGAATATAGAGCGCAAATCACTTCCCTGAATAAAAGTTCCTCTTGCCAAAATGTAAGTGGGGGTCTGTAGGTCTCTTCATAAGAGAGTCCAGTAGTATTGGTCTGATAGCACCGATCATATTCCAGATGAGCTTTCATACATACAGAATTCACCACGGTATTAGAGCTGCTCAAGTGTATTGACGCTCTCATCAATGCTTTCCTAGGGGCATTCAAACGTCCAATAAGGTGTTACATGTACATTACCCTTTAGTTCAATGTTGTTGTGGAGCTGAGCTGAACTAATATGAAAGTAAACCTACCTCCTTTTACATTTAATTATCCCCTCAACGTATCCTTGATTTTTTTTTTTTAAGAATCTTTTTTCTTCAATCAAACCTGTTTTAAAGCTCATTTAAGAAATGCTAATTTTATTAATCCAGATTTACTTAAAGAGTAGGAAAACCTTTCAGAGGTGTCATGGAGGACACGCGTGTCCCGCGAGTGAGACAACATGACCAGTTAATAACTATTCCCATCACTTGATCCCCACTTTAGGGCATTAGATTGACATTCTCAGGTGTAAGCAGTTCCAGTAACAACATCTGAAGAAAAACACGTGCGCATGGAATACAGCGAGGATTCAGAACAGTACAAGACTCTCCTCTGCAGGATATACAAGTCATACAGGCCACTTAATGATCATACAATACATAAAAAAGTAAATAAAGGGAAATAAAAAAAAAAAACAGAGAGATAACACTTTATTTGAACGTATCCAATTGGAGCTGTGACAATAAACAATAAATGGATGTTTTTCTGGAGGGGGCTTAAGAGATAAACAGCCCACTTAACCTTGCGAACAGAAAGTGTGCAGTGCTCTTAACAAACAAAGGTGTGACCGCAAACTCCAGTCCCACTTTCGCACAGCCCTTGTCTCTGATTTCAATGGCCGGCTAACCCTCCCGGCCGCCTGCTTCCCCTTTACACGTCGTCAGGTATCACCCCAAAGTCTTTCACGCAGTTAGCAGAAGCTCAGGAACACCGGCCCACCTCCGATTCACCGCAGTATTATCTTACTCATCTGCTTCTTGCATCGACACTGGCTGCTGTGAGAGGATTGTCATCATACATAGCACACCTTGCGATATCCAGAGGCTTCTAATAGCCTCTTTGTCATGCCAGTTATTTGTCACCAGCACGTTCAGCCACTAAACACCCCCCCGCATCTCTTCACCTCTTTCTTCACCTCTTTCTTCACCTCTCATCTCTCTCCACTCCTTCATCCATTTCGGGAGCATATTAAAGTGCCTTCCCCGATCGTTTTTAACCACCTTTCTTAATTATTCCGAAGAGGGCTTCCACTGTGGTCTCTGCCCTTTCTTAATGATTGCGTCTGTGAAGGCGATTCGATGCCGACGTAACGACCAGATGCCGGACTCCAACACGCCTCCCGTGCTAATTACCCCCTGGGGCTGACGTGTTTACGGAGCGCGGGCGTCCAGCAAAACCGAAGTTCATTAGCGGACGCACTGCGGGGGCAGAACACGCAGTCAAGCACTCACACTCCAGTCGTTCGTGATCCCGACACAGGATGCTGTACAGAATTGGACTCCGATGATTAAGAATCCGTGTTTGATAAGCACAGCGATAAGGGTGGATATGGTGTCTTTAGATCAGCACCCTGAATTGTAATATCCAGTCTAGCATGTGACAACACACTTTACCAGAGGGTCATGTTTAGATAAAATAAATATTAAATTAATTAGGAAGGAGGACCTTTTGACAGCATACAGGTTCAGGCCTTATGGTTGTACTGTATGTCTAGGTTTTTTTCCAGTCTTTTCTCTCTCTCCCCCACAGCTGTAACAAAGACGCGGTTTCCCAGATTGAAGACGGATGGGCAGGACCCAACACTCAACACCGCTGGCTGTGAGATCGCAACCCTTAAACGTGAAGAAGACGGGACACAGTGCTGGCGTTTTTAGTGATATGGGGAAAGCGGAAAAGACGACTGCGGAAAAGGACACGGAAAGTGGTTTTGGCCCCTAACCTGGACATGTTGCTAAAGCTCGCCTGTCATACTTTAGCTGACTGAGACAGCTTGGGATATCGGGGTTGGGGGGGGGGATTATTATATTATAGCACACGTGGAAATCTCACACTATGTGCCGCTTAAGAACATTAAATTATGTTCCACCTGAGAAAGTTAATATTATTACATGGGATCATATTAATATCCCAAATATGAGGTGCTTAAGAATTTTATTTGCAGTACAAGTAATATTTACATCTATTTTGCATCTATTATTTACATCACAGCAGGCTGAAAACAGTCCGTTCTAAAGTCCAATCACAGCTGTGTTGACAGGGAATGTAAATTCAGGTCAGGGAAGGAATTAACACAATCTTGACATGCATTGATAGCATCCCATTCTCGAGGGTCTCCCAGTACGCTGACGATAAGTCTCAGGAAACAAGGGGAAATAAAACTGGCAGAAAGCTTAGTCATGCGGCCTGTTTTCTGAAATACCGTGTAAAGACTTCAAAATATATAAGGCGACACTGCAGACTGTACTTATGTACAGGTTCTGAAAAATGAGTGAACATGTATGAAAGGTCACCAGCCAGCTCTTGTATGTAAAGAAACTGAACAGTCAAAAAATTCTGTATGTGAATGAAGCGAGACAGAAAAATCACCGACCAAAACGAGGAGTATTCCAGTATGTGCAGGTGGCATAGCGCCCCGCATTAGATAGGTCTGTGTGGTTTTGGTTTGGTTTCATCTCCATGTTGGCCTCACATTACTCTGGATGATCTGGTTTCCTCAGACAATCCAGTGTTTCAGCTAGACTGGTGTCTTTAAAATCCCCATAGTGTGTGTGCTTTTGATGGATTGACATCCCATCCAAGCCGATCTATTCCTCTTAGAGCGGAGTCCCTGTTTTGTGTGACCTTGGATTTGGATAAGAGGTTGAATGACATTAATGGACAAGCGAGTACAGAAAATCGGTGTATCAGAAATTTACAAACGAGAGGAGGCCATTTGGCCCATCAAGCTCGTTTGCAATACACACAGTAAAAGTGAAACAAGGCTAGTTCTACTTCATAAAGGCAGTCCAAACGGAGATTTATTTTCAGTTGTCTTAAAGATAGAATCACATTAGTTTAAAAGACTCAGGCTACGGTTGTTTTCACAAGACTGAGTGGTGTTCGTAATAAGAGACTGGGCAGCCAAGAGGCTTGCATCTTCACGGCCAAACGAGCAGAGTCGTGAGATGCACCAGGACACCACATCATGGTACCATGTGCGTAATATGAGTCATGAATTATAAGCATATGGGTCACGGCTTTGATGTGCATCCTATATGTCTGTCCATCACCAAGCACTGATACATCTGGGGATTCCCAAGTGGAGCTGGGGTCTACGGGCGTGGCGACCTTCACCAGGAAACATGCTGGGAAGACGAAGATTTATAATAATGATAATAATAATAATATATGCATACATATATTATGATATATAAACACACATATACACACACACACACATGCTCACACACCATATGTATTATAATGTGTGTGAAGTAATTATTGTGAATATTTCAAAGCTTATCCCTTTGGGGAAAATCAAAAATCTTTGAGGCACAAAGGGTTTCGCGAAGGGAAATTTACAGAATATGTTTGAAGCAAATCCTACCACTTCACTAAAGTCTGGGCTGGATCAAGAATGGAAATGTGGGGTGTGCCCCGTTTTTGTTCTGACTGGTACGGAGACCAAAAAAAAAAAATATTTAAATTTTTCTGCTCACTCTGTTTTAAGAAATCCAGTGGCGGGCAACTTCAGGTTCAATCCACGCGTTTCCATATTAACCATCTGTAATAAGGAGGTCCAGGGGTTAGAGCCTGGCATTTCCACTGCTGATTTAAGACACTAGCAATTAAGCAGATAGCGCTGTCCTCCGAATGAGTCAGGTCAGATAGCGCTGTCCTCCGAGTGAGTCAGGTCAGATAGCGCTGTCCTCCGAGTGAGTCAGGTCAGATAGCGCTGTCCTCCGAGTGAGTCAGGTCAGATAGCGCTGTCCTCCGAATGAGTCAGGTCAGATAGCGCTGTCCGCCGAGTGAGTCAGGTCAGATATCGCTGTCCTCCGAGTGAGTCAGGTCAGATATCGCTGTCCTCCGAGTGAGTCAGGTCATATATCGCTGTCCTCCGAATGAGTCAGGTCAGATAGCGCTGTCCTCCGAATGAGTCAGGTCATATAGCGCTGTCCTGCGAATGAGTCAGGTCAGATAGCGCT